CCTTACCCCTGGACCTCCCACCTATGGTGGACACGGCCGCAGTCTCCACAGTAGAACGAGACACAGTAGAGGCAAGAGAAGCAGTGGAGGTGGGAAGCTGTGGGACAGTGCACCCCTGAAAGAGTGGGGAAACTACCGCGCCAGAGGCGGAGGCAACGGAGCGGATGTTGCTCTCGATGTCCTTGAGAGTGGTCTCAAGGACATCGATGGTGAGCTCACTAGGGTGCTTCCGAAGAAGCTCGTCACTGGCATGTGCGAGGCGGTCAGGGAGGCTAGTGGCGACGAAGTGAATAGTGATCGCCATGGGTTGGGGGAGGAGTGCAAGCCAATCCTAGGTACAAGCAGCACGGTAGCTGACATCTAGCGTGTGCAGGTGGGTGATAAGGTTTGTAGCGCGGTCAAACGTGCTTAGGTCGGGAAAGAGAAACGGTAGAAAGAGGCGACCAAAAGAGGCGGAGGTGGGAGTGGAATAACGTGACTTTATGGCAGCGAGCAGGTCCTTGGCGAATCAAACCTGAGAGAAGTGAGCCTCCTCAGTCTCGGGGAGAAGGCTGGCAAGGGCAATGCAGGCCGCAGCGTTACGCGACTGCCACACTAAACAAGCTGTATGGGCCTTATCGAAGCGTGCCTGGGCCGCATGATCAGGCTCAGCACCAAGGGCAGGAGGGGAGGGAGGCTCAGGCAGGTCACCGGAGGCGTGTGCTCAGAGCGTATCATTGTCCTGGCGCTGGCTCTTGAGAAACCGTTCAGCACGGATGAGCCAGGAGGGGAATTCTAGGGCTCTACCCTCAGCATCTAAGCGCAGTACGCGGGGGGGCGCCATAACGAGGGAACTACCGGCCTAGAAGCACAGGGAAAGAAGTGGCCCGAGCTAGAAACGAGTGAGGGCGTACGGCGCTGAAGAGACGAGGCAAGGAACAGTCTGAGCTTAGAGTGACCTAAGCTAGAGTGGCGAGACTACAACCAGCCGAAACGAGTAACGAGCGAGGCCTGAGTGCTAATCGGGAACCGAGTGAGGTGAGGGACGAATGAAGTCAGAGTGGCGATGCAAGGAACATTACTCAGAACATGGGGCATGGGGCATGAGGCTAGGAACATGGGGCCGCTAGGTCACACTAGCAGAGGGTACTGCGGCTGCCAGCCGCTGTGGGTGGAACGCCAGTGGTAGTAAGTGTTAGGAAGGTGCTGCACGTGCGGATAGGTGCTGGTGGATGTGGTCTAGCGCGGTGGGGAGCGGTCATGTATGGTTCAAAGTGGTGGAGTGTGGTCAGGAGCGGTTAGAAACGGTCTAGGAGCGGTTAGGAGCGGCGGTTAGGAGCGGTGAGGGGCGGGTAGGGGAGGTTGGGAGTGCCTTTTGTAGCACGGGCTGCAGCTGCTGCGCTCGCTGCAGCTGAGGCAGGTGCGGCTTTTGCTGCGCTTGCTGCTGCTGCTGCTGCTGCACGTGCGTGGCTGCGGCTGCTGTAGTGCATGCGTACGAGTGGCTCGGAGGCGAGTGCAGCTGCAGCTGAAGCCACGCGTGTAGTGGCTGCTGCATGCGTGGGCGGCTGCTGCTCGTACGCGTGCAGTGGCGTGCGTGCTCGCGGCTGCTGCTGCACACTGCTGCTATGCACGCGGCTGTGCATGCAGCTACTGCAGCTCGTGTCAATGCTGCTGCGCGGGCAGCTGTGCGCTTGCAGGAACGCGCGCGGCTACGGGGAAGCGCGCACCTGTGCGTGCGAGCTGCGCGTGCAAGAGGCCGCACGTGCAGTTGCTGCAGCTGGGAGCAAAATTTGCTGCTATGCGCGCGGCTGATGCAGGGCGCGCTTCAAATGCTGCACGCGCGCAGCTGCTGGTGATCGCGCACAACTGTGCGTGCGTACGCGTGAGGCCTGCTGAGCGTGCGCGCCGTCGAGCTGGCAGCTGCGCGAGCACGACGGCGTGCGTGCGTTAGTTAGCACGCGGCTGCTACCTACGTGAGGGGCAGCACGCGCGCTCGAGACGGGACGGGACGGGACGGGGCAATCTGCGGGGCGTTACGGGACGAGAGGCCCTGCGGGGCGCTACGGGAGAAGAAGATGCGCATGATATGCTAGGAACATTGTAGGAAACTACTTGCTCTGATACCATCTTAAGAACTAACTTAGATATGTTGAGAGAATGATGATGATTCGGTAAAAGAGGGAGGATACAACCAAAGTGTCTAACATGCAACTCACTAGAGCGTATCTAATAACACAAACATAGTCTGACACAAATTACTTCGAATAATTCTTCTCTATCCTGGAATGGGTTTCTGTGTGGATGATGCAAAGGTTCCTAATTTGGCAGCCACCAGAGCCTCAGATATCAGCGAAAAAAGGTGATGTTTCTGTCACAACCCCTCTATTCACAACACAATCTGCCGCCACAACTGCCCCTTTATATTCGCAATCACTTCCCACCACCCAGGAAACACAGGGCATCTCCCCTTCACTCTTCCTTCCTTCCTGCGCCTTGATTAACCACCTTGCAACTCTCCTTGCCGATTTCCTTGCACCTATGCCTGGCACTATCCATGCACGTGTCTGTGCGACTAACCACCCCAGTTATCTATCCACCATCCTCACACCTCCCTGTACCAACAACTGTGGCACTGCCCTCACAACAACTCTCGTCACCTGTTTTGCTGCTGCACTCCTTGCCCCTGTCCTTTCTAATCTTCTCCCCGTCAGTCCTGCCAGGGCATGTGAGTTTGTGGGAGGGCCAGTGCACCTTTTGGCACCCTCTGCTGCAATACGCCACCTTGCCACACCCACCGCAGCTCCTCAGCTTCACACAACCACCCTCCACCCTCCCACATCTTGCAGCACCGCAGGGCTTCCATGTCTGGAGGATCAGCAGCAGCACCAGCAGCATGGATGCCCACAGCAGCAGCAGGGGCAGAAGAAGCAGAAGGGACAGAAGAGGCAGCAATGGAGGCAGGGCGGTAGCACGGCTCCCCCAGCAGCATCTCTCGCAGACATGCCACCATATTGACTCCCCCTGGCCATGCCTTCAGGTAAGCTGGCTCTCCCCCCTGCTTGCCAATCCGCCTGCTGAAGCTGCTGCTGCTGCTGGCAGTGCTGCTGCTCCCCTCGCCAGACCCACGCTGCCTCTGTAACCCCTCACAGTACCTTGGTGTGATTGCTGCCTCGAGAGCCCACGTAATGTCACACTTTTCTGCCGTTCTCTCCCTCTTCCTGCCGCCTCTACACTCCTCAATCTCTCCCTCTCTCCCCACATTGAACCTCCATGCTGCCATGGCTGCGGAATACCATATCCGCACCTCCTCCCAAATCTCTCCACCGTTCTCCTGATCCGCCTCACTATCCCAGAGGCCTTGCACCTTGGACTTCTCCTTCCACCTCCCACTGTATCCCTTCTTGACAAGTCAATCCCCAAAAGAGGATGCGCATACAACACTGCCATGCGAGTCAGAAAGTACAGTGGCACCTGCTCGGCGCGCCTGAGCAGCAAGTGCAGGTTCAAGGGCCTGGGCAGGCGCGCTGGGAAGTCGAAGCACTCAACAAGCTCGCCAAAGCTAGGGGAGGAGGGCGGGAAGACCGAGAGCACGCGGGAGAACAGGTGGCTGACAGGGCGATAGGCGAAGTTGGCAGGTGCTGCACTGGGTGCATGCAGGAGGGTCCAAAATATACCCGGCAAACAGGAAGTCCACGTCTGTCTCGCAGCGAACGATGGGGAGCTTCCGTCTGGGGGGGGACAGTGTTACTCTCCGCTCGCTGTTCTGCTCTGCTCTGCTCTGTATGGATTTCTCCCAAGCTCCTTGCTCTATTGCCTTGGAAACTCTCCTCCTTGCACTCCTGCTGCCCCCTCCCGCTTCAGCTATCCCACGCCTTATGCTCCATTCAGCTTCCTGGCTACCTCCTTGGCCTTCTGGATTATATCTTTTTTCCTTTGCATGCCTGCCGCCCCTTCCTGCTTCAGATGTGTGCTGAGGTGGGTTTTGGGTCAGCTTCTCAGCTGCTTCACCACGCTCCTCCACAATCCCAAGCCCAAAACACCTCTCCTTCCGGTTGACAGGAAACTTCACAGCAGCTTCCTCGCCCCCAGGCCACTCCTCCCACTCCAAAGGAATGCCGCTTCCCTCCAGAGGCCTGGGGATGGCGTCGAACCTGACCAGCAGGCTCGGGAGGTCCCGAAGCGGGTGGCGCATGGGCAGGACCTTGGTCTGAGGGCAGTCCTTGAAGCACTCTTTCTCCGAGATTGAATCTGAGCCGTAGACTCGAACCCACTGCAAGATGCAACCAACTCGATAGGTCAGTGCAGCAACAACATAATTCGTATTGACAGGCCTGAGCCTATTGGCAGGTATTAGTTTGGCATTCATATCAACGCTTGCAGTAGCAGTAGCAGGCACGACTTCTTCTACACCTGCTCTTGCTCCTCCATCCGACCCGCTTGTCTGCTTCGAGCGATGCAACAACAGTCTCCTCCGAGCCACCAGAACAACTGTCCTCTCTACCTGCACCTTGCTCGCAGTGTTCCCATCATGGAAAAACATCTCTGTATCCATCCAGTGCTCTGGTTTCGATAAGGTTGCGGTGACAGCAAGGGCGAAATTGGTCGCACCTACACCCCTCACATGCATACCCCTTGGAGCACTGCTGCTCCTACTGTTGCTGCCAAAATTGCTGACGCTGCTACTGCTGCTTCTGCTGCCATTGTTACTCTCGCCACCGCCACCACTGCTGCTGCTGCTGCTGCTGTCGTCCCCACTGCAGTGGCTGCACCGGAACTCCCTCCCTTCCCCCCCTCCATGCTCCAGAATCCAAGCCATCCCATCCACATATTTCTCCCACACAGATCCCTTCAAAGTATTTCTCCACTTCACCTCCTTCCTCCCCCTTCCGCACTTGCCAGCAACCCTTTCAATCTCTACCTTGCTCCCCGCATCTTCCTCTCCATGTCGCCCATCGTCCTTCCCATGTGAAGTCTCGCATCTGCCCTTCCCCTCCCCATGCGTCTTCCCAACAACCTTCCCCTCAGCCCCCCCCCATCCCCTTCCCCTCCCCATGCACCTTCTCAGCAGCCTTACCCCCGGCTCCCCCCCTCCCCTCAGCATGCGCCTTCTCCAACACGCCTGACAGCAGGTGCTGCACAAAGAACCCACACCCTTTCTGCAGATCAGCACTCTCCTTCACCCCCAGCACCTGCACCAGCATGGATGCAAAATTGTCAAACTCCCTGTTCCTGCTCGCCCCCAGCTCATCGACAATTGCTGGCCAGGCAAATGAGTAGGAAACTATGTCTGCTTTCCATAAAGTCACAAGGCGGGGGGATCTTGCTACAAGCACAAGAAACGTCGAAAAGCTGACAGCACGACGATAGGCATCCCAGCAGCTGCTGCAGCGCCAGCAACAGGACCACGCTGCAGCAGCAGAACGGGCAGGAAGAGGAGTAGGAACAGCAGGGAAAGCAGCAGGGGCAGCAGCAGGGGCAGCACGAGCAGGAAACGAGATATCAGCAGCTGGAGCAACTGTTGTAGTATGCAAAACGGTAGGCAGGCGAGATCGGATCCTCCCCAAGTCCATGAGCACGCCCACACGAGGCTCAGCCATCCACTCAAGAAGCATGGCTTCCGCACAAAGGCGAGACGCCCTCTCTTTCTTCCATGAGAACAGTTCCTGAGGTGAGATTCTACGCCCATCTTGTAGCGCTTGCACCAATGCCCCTTTAGAATACTCGAAAATTGCCTGGTGATGCTGCTGCTGCTGCTCTGGGGCAGCTGCAGGGATGGAACGAGGCTGCTAGGTACACAGGTGGCGACGCAAGTCTTCCAGGTTCTTAATGGCAAGTGCTCGCTGTGCGCGCTGGCTCACTGCACGGTCAAAGCAGCATCCGCACAGATCCTCATCCCAACCGCTCATCACGTCCAAAAAGTGAACCATATTCGCCTGAAAAGGCATCTGAAGCAGCTCTGGATTGCCCTCGGCTCCCCTTTTCTCTGCTGCCCCTCTGTTTGCCTCATCGGACTGTCCCAGTCCCCCCCTGTCGATCTGGACTCCAGCGCGAGCTGCCCTCTGCTGCATCGCAAAGGCCGTTGCCCGCTCTCCCAACTTCTGAAAGGACATCAACAAGCTTGCACAGCTCACGGCATAGTCCTCTTCCTCTTGCCCTTGTCCTTCCACTAGGCCTGCTGCCCCTCCGTTCTCCCGAGTGGATTGCCCTAGTCCACCTCGCTGACGTGTCCCCCCCCACGCATTCTTAGCCTTCAGCTGCTCTTCCAACTTCAGAAGCTCTAACACGCGTGCATCTTTAGCAGCACCTTCCTCTTCCTCTTCCTTGTCATTGCTAATGCCAGCATCAGAACTACGGGACTTCAACTCTGCTCCGCCAGATCCAGTCGGGGTTCCTCTCTTCGGCTTGTGCCTCTCATCTTCCTTGGTACTTGGCTTGATAGGGTCAAATCGGGTTGTAAAAGCAGTAGGCGTAGCAGCAGGAATCGATGGAGTAAGAGAAAACGAAGGACGTGGCACATCAGTAGCAGACTCAACACCAGGAGCTTCCCCAAACTGCTCAGCTTTCGAGGACGCCACGTTGATGATTGTACTCGCTCTAAGCTTGGCTTGCTCAACGGTCAAGTCAGGAGAAAGGCACACTTGCTGCCCAATAGCCATAAGTCGAACCTGCTGCTTTCGGATTGCCAATTCTTGCTCCACCGCTTTCATCCCATCTTGACATTCCTGCTGCTGACGTGTATGGCATGCCAGGCAGCAGTTGGGCAGGTGGGATTGGAACAACCGGTTAAAAACTGATGATAGAAGTTCGTCAGGAGCAACAGTAAGAGAAACATTAACGTCTGATGCGATTCCGAAGCGGTTGTTACTCAAGCGATCGTCTTCAATCGTGAGGCATCCTGTGGACTCGCCACTGCCATTCGTACAGTAAGATCCACGGTTCGTAAGACTAGCTGGAATTTTAAAATTGACCTTGAACACCATGTCGGATGCTGCAGGGTTCTTATCGAACTTGCTAGTTATCAGTCGAAGCCAGTTAAGATCCGTCGGTTTCACTAGATATGAACAGGCCGGTAACAGTGCTATCTCTGTAACAACCACGGCCCTTATAACATCGGGCAACCGTGTGCTAAATATAAATCACCCAATAATTATAAAATCAAGATACAAGGCTTCCATGTTTAACTAGTCCCACCAAGGGGTAATCTAGCCTTGATAGTACTCTTCAAGCTTGAAAGGAGAAAGAGAGGTTGAAGAAGGTTGATGAAGCTTGAGTAATTGGGTAGCTTCTTGTAGAGCTTATCCTTCAAATAACACAAGTCTAGTTTTGTAGGAGAACTTGTTAGGAGAACCCAATGACTTAGAGAAATCCCATTTCCAAATTGGTAAGTTGGAGTTGGGAAGTGGGAATGAGCTTGAAAGCTCCAACCCCTTCCACCATACCCCTTGGGGCTCTTCCCAACCATGGCTTCTATGGTTGGGGAGCTAATAGGCTTGGAGCCTAGGTGGCATCTTTGTTTGGTTGGGAAAACCCAACTTAATTGTGTTGTATGGTTGTTTTGTTTTTGGTTGGATTGTAACAACAATTGGCACAATTTGATTGGTTGGAAATCCAACCTTTCCAATCTTCACTTTGATGGGTTGGAAGTTTCCAAGCCTCAAGGTTGAGGGTTGGGAAAACCAAACCAATGTTCTTCTCCAACTCAACCTTCCCGGTTGCCTTCACGTCATTTCTCATCGAGGAAGTCTCTCGATGTTGAGTTAAGAAGTTAGCGGTAGATTAGGCAGAGTAGGTCATGCGTTACAATCTCGCTCAATGACTGAACAACGACGATTCTGCCAAGTAAGCTGAGGTTATCAGCTAACCCCTTCCCATCCATGCGACGCTATGCGACGCTAAGTGACGCGTTCCCATTTGCCGAGCCATGCGAGGCTTCTTCGATCATCGTTTTGGGAAAGCATCAAACCATCCAAATCATGTTGAGCCTCGAGGAGTACACGAGTGCTTGACGATTCATTCTTATCGTATAACCTGCTGCCATTCCATGACCGTCGATGCGTCGACTGAACACCGTGATGTTGGATGGTGTCATGAGGAGAGAGACCAAGTCCAATCTCACATGTGAGTGGAAAAGCGCGATCGGACCGTCCGTTTCCGCACAAGTCTAATCGGGTGTAGAATCATACTCGACATGGTGTCAGCTGATCTAAGCTGTCGTCTCGAGACGACCTAGATTGTTGTGGTGGGACAAGCTTCGATGTTGCCATGGCTGAAACACGAATGCCTGATGAGTCAGTCAAGGTGTGGTGACGTGAGACACTTGTGCGATTGTCACATCGTAGGCAAGGTAAATCTGGAATTGTCAATTTCCGTGTGCTTGTCCCAAGTTCCAACCCCAACGATTAGTACGTTTTTTCGCCAAATACCCATCCCAACCATTCTAAATCCCAGATCACACTAGGCTTCATTGAGCCGCAACCAAAGGCCCTGCTCGACAGGGAGCCAAGCCCTTCCGCTGAATTATCTGGGCTGTTTCGATTTTCAATTTGTTTTCTTGGTCAGCCCCCAAATGGATGCCGAACCTGGCAAACCCTCCCGAACCAGACTAACACTTCGTTGCCTGTCGAACGCGCCATTTACGAGAAGGGTTAGTCTCCCCCGAAAGATCCCACTTCCTTCGCACACTCGCAAGCGATGAGCCCACCTCCAGCCCAATCCTCGCCTCCCCAAACTGGAGGTTGGCCAAGATATGGGCTAGGGCTTGCCCTGGGAGAGGATAGGCGGATCTTACTCCCGTAAATGTTTCCCATTCCTACCCATGCTATGGACTTCCATCACTACCCAAATAAATTCCCCTCCCTCCAACGACTGAACCAACCATGTGCTCTTGTTTTCCCACTAGATTGTTACCCTGGTACCCATCACATGCGTACGAAACATTTGAATCGTGCCCTCGCCCAAGACGGTGGAAGGAGGAACCCATCAGCGCCCTGACGCCCCCCTCCTTCCGATATCGGGAGGCGCAGCTTCCGATTTGGTCAGGCGAGGGTTAGCCCAGGGGAAGTTGCTTCGTCCATCAAGCACTAGCCTAACTCAAGCCCAACGAGGGTTATCGAGGAGGGCCAAAATGTTGCAGGACACGCTCTCTGTCGTGTTTCCTCGATATTCAGCGATTCGGTACGGTTCGGATCACCCTTCGGTTGCCTTCAGTTCACTGATTTAGTCCGTCTCGTCGAATCTTTGCCTTCTTATCCATGCCGTGATTCCAACAAAAGCTCTCGACTCCAGTGCACCTGGAGAATGGGTGCATGATTTTAGGGTTTCGAAAGGCCTATGTCGGGACGGACACTTGTTTAGCCTCTCCTCCGGCGACCGATTTAGGTTAGAAGACAAAATGTGAGAAGACTAATGTGGTGGATCTCGACATGTACATTCTCGTGTTGCAAATATCATATCCACATCTTATTATTTCCACATCTAAGTGCATGAGGGAAATGTGCGTCGTCAGCTTCTTTCTCGGCAATATATCTAATCAGCAATCGCGGCGAGACTGATAACCCCTGCGTGCCACGTCAGTAGCGTCCGCTGCCGCTGGCACGACCCCGCTTCGCCTCGCATATCTCCTACTAACCCAACCAGCGCTCGTGATTTTCTAGAAGACTGAAAAATCACCTCCAGGTCGCATCCCTTCTCTCTCAGTGATACAATCGGCGCTCTTTTCAGTAACTCCTCGTTATTGAAGGCCCGCTTCTGCTACTGCGGCTGAGCCTGCCAGCCGTGGGTGCAGGAACCAGTGCACCATCTGCTGTTGCTAGTCTCCCCATCGACTACTCTATCTGGGAGAGCATGGGGGGTAGCAGCGACGAGGAGGAGACAGAGAACAGCAGTGAGGAGGAGGGGAGGGAGAGTGACAGCAATGAGGAGGAGGAGAGGGAGGGGAGCAGTGAGGAGAGAGGGAGTGGGAGTGATGGGGAGGAGACGGAGGGTAGCAGTGAGGAGGAGGATGAGGGGGAGAGTAGCACTGAGGAAGAGAAAGCTGCCGGAGTCAGCTCATCCAGTTCTCGCTAGTCCAACTCTGAGTCTCCCTGCGCCTGCTGCTTCCACCGGGTACTTGGCACCCAGGATGGAGCAGTTCTTGACATCCCAAGGCTGAAGGGCTTCCGCGCAATTACTTAAGCAACTGCCGAAGTCCATCCCCTGGGCAGCAGCAGATAGGCAAGGAGTAGGTATGTCCCTGGGAGGTGGTATAGGAGATAACGTAGCAGGAAAGGGAGCAAAACCAGTGTCAGAGAAGGGAAAGGGAGCACCAGAGTTGCGAACAGCGGAGATGGGAGCAACAGGAGGCGGTAGTGAGGACAAGCCTGAACGCGCCCCTCACCTTTCTGCTGAGGCAATGCTTCTCGAGTGGATGACTGAGCCTCGTGTAGGCGTGCTAATGGACCTGAGGAGGATTAGATCCCGCCTGCCTGCAATCATCGCTGCCTCTGATGCTCCTGCCGTTCCTAGTATACATGCTGCCACTTGCTCTTCCTCTGCACTCCCCTCGCCCACCCAACCTGCCTCGGTCCCCTGGCACTGCTGCTGGCGCTGCAGCAGCTGCTGGGCCTCCTACCGTCACGCTGTGTCCCTCTGTCCCTCTGTGCGTGTAGCGAATTCTCCACGCTTCGTGACTTTATGAAGGGCCCATCTTGTCGCCTTTACAAGCGCCTTCGCTGCTATTGTGGAGGAGCTAGGGGCGGGTAGGCAGGGGGAGAAGGATAGTTTGGCTTCGGTGCTGGTGCAGGTTCTGGGTGTGAAGGAAGGAGAGGAAGCGAAAGACGGGTTTACAGCCAATGTGCTGCCGCTGCTGCCTGGTGGCGCACAGAGAGAGCGAGGGTGTACTAGGGGAGGATAGGGGAAAGGGCGGAATAGCGGATGGTGGGAGAACAGGGAGAAAAGGTGGGATGGAGGAGCTTAGGTGAAAGGGTGGAAGTTGAGAGGGGAAAGGTGATGGCGGTGTGGGCAGCAGTGGGGAGTGGAGGCGGGGGCTGGAGGGTCCTGTGTGGGAAAGGTATGTGGGCGGTATGGCTTGTCTTCTTGCGCATGAAGGACGGGATGAGACAAGGGCTCCCAAAAGTGTTTCTGCCAGCAGCAGTGATCCCAACTGTTCTCTTGTCTCACGCATCTCCAACGCTTTCAGCAGCAAGGTGAAAGGTGCGAGGGTCACCCTCAGGAGCTAGCAGTATGGTACAGAGATGGGAAGTAGCGACTGCAAGGAAAGCCAGCTGAGACAGACGTAGGAGGAGCTGTAGGGTGAGTGACAAGAGAGGAAAGGACACGAGATACTGTAGGAAAAGCGGCACGCAGGAAGTTAGAGAGTGAAAGAAGCACATTGCGGGATGACTGAGGAGGAGACGGGAGACGAGGACGAGACACACAAGGAGGAGAGGAACAGAGGCTCATAGGGTGATGGCCAGGGACAGAGGACAAGCGACGAGCACGAGGAGCACGCCGAGTAGTGCAAAGTTTATATAAAGATTTGGGATATTACTTATTTTGGGCGATTATTGAGACATGACTATAAAAGGATCTTTGATTGGGTGGATAAGTAGACGCTTTGACTTTAGGGATGGGTGGCCATATGATTCTAGCATGGGCTGCAAATATTGCAATACCTAGG